CATGTCCACACAGAGGGTGCCCCAGCAGCTCACTCAGAATGTCTCTGTATTTGAGGATGCAGGTGAGTTAGTAAAAACAAGGAACCTGAAGGAGTTCGGAACCAGATAAAAGGAACAATGATCGCTCCAGGGGTGTGCCGCTCATTTTATTGCCTTCAGGAATCATAGGTTCACAACCAAAGAGTTCCCATCTGGCAGTGGGTGGCCATGATCAGAATCTGAGCACTCTCTCTCTTCCCTGGGCAGCATCCAAATAGGACATTTCTCAGTGTTGCCTTCTCTGGACCCCAGCTGGCTCCCAGGTGGCTCTGCAGTTGCCAGGCCCCTGCACAAGGGGCCAACATCCATGTCCATCAAAGGCAACTCTTGACCATTGGGTATTTGTCTGTGAATCACTTGCACCCTTGACACCTGCCCCTCCATAGCAAGTGATACACTTGTGAGGAGGCCTGATTCAGTCTCCCTGCAGGACCCAACGAGGGACGGGGCAGAGGGAGAGAAGGGCATCCATCGGACAAACCCGAGGTCCTCAAGTGTGGGGAACTTTGCGGGATTCACCTGGAGACTACCACAGGGTAATTTTCAGAAAGTTACAAACCTAGACCACTTACAGATACAGAAGGAGCATCTGATTTCCTCAACTCTGTAAAGAGAAAACCAGCAGCTGGTGATGCTGGCCAGAGGAGAACAGGAGGAATCATGGTTACTGGGCATGAGGGGAAATTTCAGGTCAGTTACAAAACTGGTTCAGTTCCTAGAGAGCAGGAAAACCACAGCCTCTGGGGAGATCTTTGCTGCTGCACAGAAATCACTGGCATCTCCCCTGGTCAAAAAGCTCCACAAGTTAACAGTAACCTTAGAGCCTGGCCTTTAATCGGTAACAAAGAGCGAGTCAAACAGAGGCACATCCCCTAGATAACTCCGTTACCAGCAGAGGCCTGAAGAGCGATGTTCCAAAATGGTGGTGGAAGCTCTGCTGATCTCCCTGTGCCTTTTTCCAAATTTCAAGCAATTTTTTTTTTTTCTGGACAGAGTCACAGGGGAGAGCAAGAAGGAAGGAACAAGGCCTGAGGGTGGGAGTAAAACAGCCTCCTTCGCTGAGGCACAGTGGGTCCCCCAGAGCTCACCCCCTGTGTACCCCCCACACACCCCTGCCCAGCTACCCCATCATACAGAGGCCCAGAAGGAGTTGGCAGAGGGCACTGATTGGCTGCCATCCACACTGCCACGCTCTCGGGGCACCATCTGTCCCCAGGTCTTGATGAGTTCTGTCCCTGATATTTTTGCAGATTTTACAAATGCATCTAATGGTCTAAGTGTACAAACCACGTAGGAGAAGGAGGGTCCCTCCTAGAACGCACATGGGATGTTACTCCCAGGCCTGCCCTCTTTGCCTCCATGTCCACCAGGCCACAGGGGGCAGGCAGTCCTCACGCTGTCCCACGTCCTGTGTGAGCAGATGGGATTGTTAGGTGGTGAAGGCTCTTACAGGTAGGAACCGGCTGGCCTGGGACAGCACTCACGTCCTCTGAGACCAGGACTGGGCTCCGTTGTCTGCACAGCGCCCCGGGCTCCTTCCCAGGCCCGTGGCTCTGAGCTCTGGCTGCTGCTGTCCATCCGGCCCAAGATGGCCCACCCCTGGTCCCAGCAGGGTCACCCCTTATACCTTGACGTAGTTTGGATGTCTGTTGCCTCCAAATCTCATGTAGAAATTGGATCCTCAGTGTTGGTGCTGGGACCTGCTGGGAGGTGCTTGGGCACATCCCTCGTGAATGGCTTGGTGCCGTCCTTGAGGTAATGAGAGAGTTTCCCCCTGCAAGACTGAGTGTTAAAAAGTGCCTGGCCCCTCCCCCCCGGCCTCTCCTCTCTGTGTCTCTCTTCTCCCCGTCTCATCTCTCTCCTCTGTCTCTCTCCCTCTCACCCTTCCCCTTTCTCTCTTTCTCATGCTCTCTCGTGCACATGCTCACTCTCTCTCTCTCTCTCCTGCACAAGAAGCACCATGCTTCTACAGCCTACAGAACTGTGAGCCAAATAAACCTCTTTATAAATTAGCCAGCCTCAGGTAACACAGACGGACTTTTATCCCAGCACAAGCAGACTGAGACAGATCTCGCTCCCCCCCAACCTGCAGGGGCCCCACGGCCCCGCCCAGGATTGTCCTCAGCTCCACTCTTGCTGCTTCTTAACAGAGAAAAGTAATTTCTTTAATATCCTATAGTAAACGCCATGCATTTTTGTTGTAGAAAAAAATAGAAAATTCAAATAAACAGAAAGAACAAAATAACAAGACCTGCCATCACAAGACCTTGTTATTATCCTTGATGGCCATGACTGGTCACCAGGAAGACCGGCCACGTATCCCTGCAAAGAGGACAGCAAGGCAGAGGGCAAGGACCGCTGTGAATCGTGAGCCTGGGCAGCATCTGAGAACACACGAATTGCCTGGCTCTGCCCCGATCCCTCAAGCTCCATGGCCTCCCGTGTTCCCAGTGCCCCTGCATTCCAGACCCGGAAAGCACTGGGCATTCAGAACTCCCCGTGACCTGTAAGAGAACGCAGCAGGCCCTACGGCAGTGGGCTCATTTCTAGAAAAGGCCGGGAAAGGTGGTGTACAGTCAGACCCTGTGTATGCACGTGTGGTGTGTGTTCTCCTGTAACATCTCAACCAAAAGACATGAAATGCTGGAGAGGAAAAATGAAGCTTGCTTTGCATTTTATTTCAGTTCGGTGTGTTTACAGGCGAAAAGAAAGGAAGAGATTAGGACAGGCAGTTTGAAAAGAGATAACATTAAAACAAATTAAATTTTAATATAAATAGAAATGCACTTAGAAATAGACCTGTGCATAGAAACACATATGCATGATGTGTCTCTAGGCCCAAACAGGAAGCAGCTCTGTACACAGCACAGGTGGGCGTCACCCCCACTGCATGGCACCCAAGCTGGGCACATGCTACTACTGATGCTCGTCTGCTCCTGACATCTGAGTCCTTGAGGCTGCCTCTCACCTGTCTATCAGGAAAGACAATTCAAGATGTTCCAAAAGTGCTGTCTTTCCTATGACACTCACATCCCGGAAGACCACAAGAGACCCATGGAGCTGTAAGTCCATGCGGCCACTGGGAGCCCCTGGAAGGCTGGGCTGCGGTCTTCTCTAGCCTGCTGTTCCTCATGGCTCATGACTTCATGTCTCTGGGGTGGAGGGACGGAAGGGCAATTTCTTTTTTCTTTTTTATTTTGAGATGGAGTTTTGCTCGTTACCCAGGCTGGAGTGCAATGACACGATCTCGGCTCACCACAACCTCCGCCTCCTGGGTTCAAGCAGTTCTCCTGCCTCAGCCTCTCAAGTAGCTGGGATTACAGGCGCGCGCCACCATGCCCAGCTAATTTTTGTATGTTTAGTAGAGATGTGGTTTCACCATGTTGACCAGGATGGTCTCGCTCTCTTGGCCTCATGATCCACCTGCCTCGGCCTCCCAAAATGCTGGGGTTATACGGAAGGGCAATTTCTTATGGAGTCTTCCTAGCACATAAGAAAGAAGTACTTTCAGTCAGGATATGTGTATTAAGCTCAAGTCGTAAAAGATGCTGCACATCCCAATCCTGGTTCCTTTATTAGTTGGGGATTTGAGAAGAGAAACAAGGAAGCAGGGTAGGGCCTCGGCAGAGGGAGCAGAGTGGGCATGAAGGGGATGGCACACGGAGGGAGACCACGGGCGGGGCACAGGAGGGAGAGGAGGTAGCTAGGAACAGCAGAGATTTCCCAGGCCAAGTCCCATTGCCTCTGCTGCCTGAAGGCAGGGCAGGAGTCTCCAACTCCTGGAACACACATTGGCTAAGTCAGAGGAACCAGAGGGAAAAGAAGTTTGAGGTCTTAGTTTCATGTCCTCATTCTGTTCAGGGCAGAAATACTGAAGTCCCTACCACCTACCCAGCAAGCCATGGGAGGTACAACCTGGCTTCTGCTGTTGGACGTTGGAGATACAGTTAGCCTCTTGAATCATACCTAACAGTACATTTAAAATAGATACATCCATTTTTTAAATTTTTAACTATTGTAAAGCACAAAATGTACCATCTTCACTATTTTTCATTTGCAGTTCAGCAGCATTGTCTATTCATATTCTCATGCCTCTAACCTCCAGAGCTTTTCATTTTGCAAAATAGAAACTCCACCCATTAAATCCAACAACTCC